GAGAATTTTGTTAGACCCTAGGGGGGGTGATTAGGGTCTTATGCTAATCGAATCCGATTATATGCTAATTAAAACTAATTAATAAGTTATCTTAGCAAGTATAAAATACAACAAGATATGTGAGCTAGGATAAGCAATATGAACAACAAGATATATCCTAAATGATAGAAATATATGCAAGGATATATAAACAACAAAAGGGTAAATAATCTAAATAGGATAGTGGATGAAATGAATGAGCAATGCACAATTGGCGATATAAGATGAATGCAAAAACAAATACGCCAAAGACAAACTTAAACAAGCAATATGATCACGGAGTTTGGACCTTCCGTCCTACGTCTCCGCTCCCCACTCCCGGGGAGAAATCCACTAACACAATCCGGTTTGGAAGCCGGAACTTCTTCTACACACTCGGTTTTCTAGCTAACCGAAAACTCTACAACTCACACTCTTGCAATCACACTCTACACCCACTAAGTGTTGGACCTAGCCGTGTCTCCCTCAAGTGCTCGGTTACAACCTCTCCCTAGGCACGTCAACCGACGCCACTCCTCTTGGGACGATCCCCGACTCTCACCACACACTCCTCACTCGGTGTACAAGAGTATTACAAAGTGATTTAACAATTAAGCACAATATAGCAAATGATTGTTCTCTCTAACAAGGTGAGAACTCAATTAGGCTCAACTCAATGTCACACTATCCCACAACCCAATTATATAATGTATGCAAATACAATAAGCTCAATGGTTGTGTGTGCAAACAAAGAGTAAATCAAATCAAACTAAACTCAATATAAAACTAGCTTTAATAGAAATGATAATCAACAAATAATTATAAATAAAAGCTAGACTTGAGTTTAGGAAAACTTCTCTAGATCAAGATGGAGAGATGGAGATATGAAGCCCAAACAAGAAGATGATCTCCTCCACTTGTGAAAATAATCTTCAAACCAAACAAACACTAAAACTCACTTAAACCCTTGTTTAAAACTCTTTAAACTTGTTTAAAACATTTCTTGAGTTACCTTAGAGGTATGAGGGCATGGGGTATATATAGGCTCATGAAACAACCCCAAAAACCAATAAAAACACCCCCAAAACATTAAAATAAACAAAAAACAGAACTAGCTGTTACTGTAGCAACGGTCGGATGCTACAGTACTTCGGTCGACCGGTACGGTCGACCGGATTACTGTAGCAGTGCGCAGCTGTTTTGTAAAATCTCGACCGATAGGCTTCTGTCAGCCAGGGAACTTTTGACCTCAGGTTCGGTCGACCGGTGCGGTCGACCGAAATCTGACACATGAAAAACCTGATATGCTGATTTTAAAAAGCTGTTTAAAAATATCAAATAAATTCCAAAAAATGTAAAACTTTGGGGAATGATTGTAGACATGATAATAAACATGCCACAGTGACTGGTTATCAGAAAGGACCTCCCAAATGAAAAATATCATCATTTTACAAAATAGTCCAAAACATGAAAATATGAGATACTTGAATTTTGATGTTTTGACATAAACCAACTTTTGAAACTTTGTGAAATGTTTTTATAGACTTAGTAAAACATGTATAAACTGATATTGAAGTCTACAAACTAAGAATACAATATTTTCACAAAATTGCATATTCTATGCAATGAAATATGTGATTTCATATTATAAACATGAAAACCCAATACCATATGTATGTATATATATAACTATATATATGCATAGAAACCAAAACTTATGTATATATATATATATAACTATATATATATATACGAAGAAACCAATAAAATGTGTGTGTATAGATATTGAGCTTAACCTATTAAACACACATAATATAAACTTATACTAAATTACCCAAGCTTGATCTTGATCTTCATTTTAGCTCAACTTGGTACACGTTGCGGATGAAGCTTGAACTTGATCTTTAACTTGAATTGTATGTAGCTTCACTCCACCAATCCGCCAACCTCCTCTTGATATGATCGTGTAGGCTTAATCCATCCAACCTCCAACTACGTTGTTTGTCTATAATACATAGGAAAACACAAATACTAGACAAACAACATTAGTGATAAATTGTTTGTTAAACATCATCAAAATAAGAAGGCCAACAAATTTGTCAAGGAGAGGGGTGTAAGAGAGCCCTTTTTTAAAGGAATATCCAAATATTTAAAAGATGGAAAAGCATGGGAGGAGTTGAGGATGTTAGCAAAGAAAGTCCTTTGGTGGAAGATTTACCAAAGTGGTAAAGATTGGTTTTGGCGTAGTTGATACCTTGACCAGAAATGTTCTCAAACATGTATAATATGTATTTATTTTGCTGATATCACCTCTTAACTCACTGCACAACTCCAAGGGTTTGGCTTCGTAAAATTCTACTGTATCATCACCCGGTCCTTTTTCTCTCATTCAGTCTTGCTTTTGTACGAAAGTTAGCTTGTTTAACTGTGGTCCTCCGATTTCTGATAGCGATAACCAATATTGATGCTCCTATTTACCAACATTTTCTAATTTGTGAACTAGGAAGTCTTACTTGCGTACATGACACTAGAACTAGATGTGATCAATTTGATGGCCAGTCTTTTTCTTCTTTTCTTTTTATTTTTGAAACATTAATTGCGACCGTCATCATCTGTCTTTTGTCTGCCACGATCTCTTGTACACACGCCTGCTGGTCTTTTTTGGTTCTTCTTCTAAGTATTCTGAGGCAATCATGCATGCTCGGCCAGCTTCAATTATTTTGTGGGATTAGAGGATTATAATATTTGGGTGGAGGCGTTCAAACTAACTTCAAGAGAAGATGGGAACTCTTGCCAACTAATAATTAATGTCAATTAAAATCACGCATCCTTCTTTTTTTCTTATCAATCAAGAATCCTCCAAGCTGGCTTAGAAGGCCCACATTAACGTGAATAACGTCTTATTATGGATAGTGCACTGCATGTGTATTTTGACCTCGTAATTAATTCAATGGGACATAAATGCGGGAACGTATGGATATGTCATCTTCATCGTTCTTTAGTGCCTCTCTGGGTCAAGTGTTACCTCATCACTTGTTGGTTGGGTGGGTGGAATCAAAATCAGAATAATAGTAATTTTGTTTAATTCCTCAACCAAAAGAAAAGTTTATTGTGCATCAATTGATTGGATCAGCTACGTAACTCAAGGTGGCCATTTCTTTCATGAGAATATTCGGAGATCTTGTCTTAAAAAAAAACTAGAACAATCTTAAAAGTTACGGCTGCCTAGCGAAGAAGAACCACTGTACTTTTTCTCCCTTTGGCGTTTGTTTTGCCTTAGCTCTGCCCTCGTAACATTGATGGTCCTTTTTTTTTTTTTGGTGGGTTTCTTCTTCCCTTCGAGCAGTCGCCGTCAAGCCAACCCTCAATTATTTTTGGGGTGAGGTCTTCGCTACCCTAAAATATATCGCCATAACACATGAATTGTGCCATCAATAATTAAGGATCCCCCAAATTGACCAGGGTGGTCCGTCACCATGAGCGTTCAGGGTTATATATATGTCTTGCCGACAAGAGTTGATATGTATCTTTCACCTTACAATACTATATATGCGACACAAATTTGGTATCGCATAGAATCTTCATGTTCAGTTTAATATGTGGCGTTCAGGGTTCCATAGGGTCTCAGGGTCAAGGGCTATCTTGTCATGTGTTAGTTGATTAGGAGAATCGAATTCAGAAATATAATTTTGTGTGAGCAACTAACAGATATTCCCATGCCTCTCACATGACATGATTGAAGCACCAAAGCTCAAATCGAAACGCCAATTTCTCTTTCAAGAATTGTTATTAAAATGCCTGTTTCTTCATAAAAAAAGGAAATGCATGTTTAACTTAATTTATGTTTCTTTGAATATTTATTCTTTGAGATTATTTTTTGCAATAAAGGTTAATTGTAGATGCTGT